ATCACGGCATCTCGCACGCGTTTTCTCCGATTGCACTGTCATACGCGCATTGGCAATCGGTTAATGGAGCCATTTACCGCACCAAGAAACCATAATGCGACGCGCGATGGCGTCGTAATTATATGAAGACGTGTTTTTCTCCCGCGCGAAAAATGATTGAAAATTATTGATGGCGAATACGATGCTTCTCGGCGAATCCGCGCTTCCGAGAAGCTATATCGTAATCGTGTTAATACACACATCACCGAAAGTTACGTCATTATCGAGAGAAAATCAAGCATAATAATTTTTTTATTTAGGAGAGCCGATTCGCGAATCAATTATCGCTCTTCGATTCCTGCGACGAACAATGCTGGGAATCTCTTCACGGATGCTTTCCATCCCTTTCTCTTCTATAGAACGACGCTCGGTGCATCGGTCCACCCTCCTTCGCCCCGATCAATTATTTAGCATTGCCTCGGCTTAGTTACGAGATAAATATTCTGTCTGCGTAATGTGAAACTATTCGGACGGTGACAGGGGTTGATGCGAGTGTGTCCGACGATTATTTGAACGCGTAACGACATGACGTTTTCCGAGGCATCGGGGACCAATCTCCGAGAGCGAACGGTGCCGGACTGTCTCTTGATTAACTCTTTTTGATGTCTTTGCTCGTTGCACGTGGACGAGAAAAAAAAACATTGCCTTTTTCTCTATCTCTTATTAATTTCCTTTTATCGTGAGATAAATTTTTTCAGATTAATTTTCCTCGAAATTTATTCGCACGCTCTTCTCTTTCGTCGCGCCACCGACACGACGATCTCGCGAATCGGCAACGAAAAATGCGAACAGTGATAAAAGTCAGAGAGTTTTGAATAAAGAATGCCACCTTTCTCGAGGGCTACGCGCGTACGCTTGGTTTTTCACGTCAACACATCTCCCTAGTTGCCGCCGGCGAACGGTCAACCCGCGTTTTTCTTGTACATTCTACCTTTTTCCGTCTCTCGCTTCTTTCCCCTCTCTCCTCTTTTCTCTCTCTTTCTCTCTTTCACTCGCGCGCTTTTCGTGCGAGGGTTTATACCGGCATACCCAAAGGGTGGCATGAATTATTCGGACGGCGGTGAAAACGTCTAAGTGACACATGGACGCCTGACACCTAAATTGATCCTCGATCGGAACGCATGGAGAACGCACCGTTGCGCTGGTAGTTCCGGAAGGGGACCGATTTTATAGGAGGTGTTGCAGGAATGGAGAGAGAAGGCGAGACAGAGAAATAGATAGAGAGAGAGAGAGAGGGAGAAGATCGTGCGAGGGTAAGGTCTCGTGCATAATTCCCGAGGTCCCCGCGAAATCGCGTTAATCCGCGTTCCGGATGCGCGGATCAATTTGAGAATCGAGAACTTACGCCTTGCCGGTGGTAATAACAATAAATCGCTTTAGCACGAAAGGCTCGTCGCGAGAGAGCGGATAATTTTAGATACAAGGATGAGAACGAGTCCCTTCCGGGACAAAACCCGCGTTTAGGGGCTAATTAAATTAGGCTGCCTCGTCTTCGACGAGCGCGCCGAGAGAGCACGGATAAACGTTAGCTATACAAACTCGCCCTATATAAGTGCGAGGATCCTTTTTTTCGCGTAAAGTAGGGAATTACTTAACGGCATTAACGTTCGCGGTCGGTCTTACGCGCGCTCGTGACGACATTTTTAACGTTCGCATCGCAGTATCCATTTCCCAGATGTAACGGCACAATCGTCGGTTCCAAGTATAAGTGTCGGTAGGTGTTTATCTCCTTTCTTTCCCTTCTTCTTCCTTTGTCGTGCGTACATTCATGTATATATATTTCTGCAAACGCGAGTCGTACGAATTTTTACGAACGGCTGACAAATATTATAAATTTAAAGAAGTGCATACGAGAATCATCTTGTCAATATGTAACGGATATTTGTACGTTATTAACGTATATATATGTTACTAATTATATTATCAATATAAGCTTAAAATTCTTTATAGAATTATGCATAGTCAATTTCTGTTGACCATTTACGATTAATCGATTTATTCATACTGAGATTTATATATACGATTAATTATATAATTAAAAATGCTACAATATTTCTATAATAAAGAATTCATATAACTAGAGAAAAAAATGAAAAAAAAATGTTAAAAAAACAAAAAAAAAGCAAAGTTTGCCCATTAATATTTAATCTCGCGAGTTAAAATCGAGCAAATATTTAAAATATTTTTTACGACACTAGGATATAGTGAGTCCCTTGTGAATAAATTCTTGATGCACAATTATCCGTATCGATCTTTCCTCCTGAGACATCCCGTACACTTGAGAATTTAAATCGCGCGTGTATAATATGAACACTGCGTAATAATACGTTCCGATCATTAGAAAAGTGCAAGCTCCGCGCGGCGGTGTAATGCAAAAGGCGAGAGAGAGAGCGGACAGTCGCCGCTCTACGTGTGCGGTGAATCATTTTGTTGCTATTACGGCAGGTACCGCAACGACAATCGAAATATTCTTGCGCAACGCAGTACGTTCGCACGTATATTGCCGGCTAATCAATTTTTCTGGAAAAGTGATAAAAATAAAAGCATTGAAACGATGAACTCGAAGAATTTGGCAGTGTTTTTGGAAAACTGATAGATTCTTTGAATTCATCGCTTTAATGTTTTTATATTTTTCTATTTATTTATTTTTTTTACCGTTCAAATATAACAATCGGAATGCACCACTATGTAAGAATTTGAGATCTAAAAGTATTAATTGTGAAACTGGCAGAGGATTGATCCTCGAGATCAGTTCGACTCCACAAATATATTTAAAAATTAACGAAAAGACGATTAATTTTTTTACGAGCAAGATCGTTGCTTTGATTAATTTAATTGCAGTCTGCAGAAATAAATTAAAAGTCCTTTCGCGGTAAAGATGAATTTAATATAGCGAATTCTCGATCGTAGAACTTCGTAGAGGTGCGAAAAAAAGCGCTTCCTCTTGCGTTCGGTTAAGGGGAAAGATATACGTCTTCTCGATAGGATGTGGAAAATGGCGGGTCGAGCTTGTCGACAGTCACCATTTTAAACCGGCTCATATAAAAGGACGCGCCCGCGCATTTACGCGGTCGGACAGCCACCCCTACGGGGTGGTGCGACTAATCGATCGGTCGTAAGGAACTTCCCGGTAAAAGATATCGACCCGCCCTCTCGAGAAGGATCACCGGTTGGCATGCACCTCGCATAATTAGATTCCGTTGAAAGAGAGTTGGATAACAATGGAGCGGGATTATTGGATAACGGATCATCTCGTTATTGGCTTCTTGCGATCCTTGTTTTTACTGAGAGAGAAAGACAGAGAAAAAAAATATGAAGAGAATTAAACAAGTATTGATAAAACTGATGTTTCTTTTCTTTTCGCTCTCATACGTCTAAACATATCGCTCGTATGTCTAAAATTGAAAAGACGCAACTCTGCTGCTCTTGCATTCTCCTCATGGCATCCATGATACGATAATACGATGGGACGAACGAACAAGAGAAAAGAAGAGAGAGAGAGAAAGGGAGAGGGCAAGAGCGGGTAGTAAGAATATTCTCCGTAATTAAGTCCCGCCACTTCCTCGACTCGATGCGGCGCGGTGCGAGAGAGTGAAAGAGAAGGAGATAGCTATAAGGACTATCCGTGGAGAACGCGGCAAGAGAAGAAACGCGAAGAAAAGAAGCGGCAGAGCGAGCAAGAGAAGGGGGCGAAAAAAGGAGGCACGACGATCGAGCAATAAATAATACAGGGGAAAAAGGCGATCGCGCCTGCAACATTCTGCTCAAATGTTAAATAGGTATCAATTTAACAGCGACCAATGTGCAAGTCCGTGGGCGTAGAGAGCCGTTGCCGGATTGGTTGGACCAACCAACAGTGGGCGAGGCTACCTGGAACTCGGGTGCCGGGAGTCGGCGACGCATCTCGCCGTCCTGGTAGGGATAAACCATCTGGCTTCACCGGTACCCTCACAACGTCTGGTCTCTCTCGACGCGACCGATCCGGATTCACGCACTCGCTGACGCTCCGGTTAAGCCACCGAGGACTCCGAGTTTTTGACGAAACGAAGAACGAGTTCCCACTCTCGTCATTTGGATGATCGCGCGAACGCGGCCTGTTATGTTTTCATGAAGTGCGAAGTCCTTCGCCGCGTGCGTCTTTCGTCTAGTGTTCCTGAGAAATTGGTTTCTCGGCTCTGAGACTGAGACCTGTCAAGATTCGGGCTTATCGTTAGTGCGAGGTCGAGTGTTTTCCGGGAGGAAAAAAATTTTCTCGGTACGATTTCCGATCGACGTAAAGTGACCCACGAAACAGCAGAGGTATTTGTTTTCTTTGTTCAAAATGACAGAGAGACCAGCCTCGAAAGAGGCTCGTTGGTTCCCGATACGCGTTATGAAAAAGAGACGTGATTCAAGAATGGATTTTAGTTTTTGAAGACAGAGTTGATGTATCGACACGGACAGAATTGTTGTTTATGTGTCAAAAAGAATCGATGGCTGATCAAGTCAGTGAACGAAATCAGTGAAATTCGCGCTTGGAATGTAGCATCTCAAACTGGTTAAAAAAGAGTGAAGAGAGAAAGACGGTGAATCAGCGAGAAAAAATTTGGGGAGAAATGAATATATTCGGTAAGTTTTTCCGTCCTGTGTATATAAATGGTACCAGCGTCGGTATACATGCGTAGAAACAAAATGGCCGCCGCTCAACGTGAAATTTATGAGATGGTCCAGGTCAAATTCATTGTGCAATAAATTTAAACGCTCGTCGAACTCTTGAATCCATCGTAATCTAGTCCTTCCGAACAAAAAGTTCTCCCGAATTAATCTTCTCCATTCCATCATTCGTTCCCATGACCTGTCGCTTCGCGGATTGTTGTATACCGTGTAACAACTCCCGATGAAGATACCCGCTGTTTGAAACATAAATCTTTTCGTGGAAACCGATACCAAGCGCCGAGTTCTCGCGAGGAGAAGGAGGGACCATGTCGGAACGCGGCGATAGCGACGTGGACGCGACGGAGGAGATCAACGTAGACGACTCGGATTCTCGTAGCTGCAGTCCGCGAAATTACGCGAGCCACGACGGTCGCCACGTGTCCCAGGAGACGTCCGAATGCTCCACTTCGCCACCCCCGAGCCAAACCGGCACGAGAACGCTGCCGAATGACTCTTCCCGAAGCCACCCGTTCAGCATAAGTCGTCTGCTGGGCGAAAGCGGCGTTCGAAACCCTCCGAAGAGCCCATCCTCGGAAG